GACTCGCTGCAGATGCTGCTCCGGGTCAGTGCACCGCCACCACTCAGTGCTCGCTCCCGCCGCTTCGCCCCTGGAACGGCCCGGCTCATAGCATTTCTCATGTTTCAGCGCTACCCGGTGATGTGGCAGGGTTTGCTGGCGTTAAAAAACGATTCCGCTGCCGTTCAAATGCACTTTGTGGGCGGCAACCCCGGCGTAGCGGGCGACACGTTATCGCGACACGCAGACGGCTCCACGCCGCTACTGCGGATCGCTCAGCGTATGCGATTAGAGCAACCGCAACTGGAGCAAGTACATCGCAAGATGAAGGTAATACGACGATCCTGACTTTTGTATATAATAATATTTGTATATAATATTATCTCCGACGGCGACTTAATACTTTTCCCTATATTTTAATTTCCAGATGGAAAACGAGCACTGCATGCTTTTAGCCTTGCCGTGTGGTCGCGATCACATGGACGTATTACAGCAGTCGACAAATCTGACCGCAGGATTTATTACTTATCTACAGAAGAAACAAGCTGCAGGAATTGTTAACATTGCACCTCCCGGACACCACCAGGTATGTAAGCAACAAAACAGCATATAATGGAGTTTCTTGCTCGTTCTTCTCCATTCAGCTTCACTGACGGACTGACTGACAGACTATTATTTATTTTGTATTTGTTGACGTTTCAAAAGTACCAAATTATGGTTTAATTGAAATAAACGCTTTGACTTTGACTTTGACATAATACCGTACAATACCGTACTTATAGGCCAAAATAACCAAATTCCATACAATTAATTAATTTATTTATTTAATACGAATTTAAACCTGTTATTACAATATAATATGGTGTCTTTAATTATGTTTCTTTCTTTTATAGGCTATGTTTACCGTTCACATCTTCCCGTCTTGCGAATTTGCCAACGAGAACTTAAACCGCATTGCACCAGACCTGATGCATCGTGTTGCAGACATCGCACATTTACTTATTGTCATAGCTACCGTTTGAGGTATGCTACATACTTATACATTTTATCTAATTGACAAGCTAATTTTTATGCATATGATATGCTTGTGGACCTCTTGTCCTGACGACCTTATGGACACACTCTGGATTTGACACGTTATTCTTAAATCTATAATATGGCTTCAATATTATGTGGATAAAGACGACGTCATCGATATAGTCGATTCGATTTTAAGAAAGCATTGTAAATACGGCCAGGTTGTGAAATTTTTATCTTCATTTTTATCGTAGCAATAGATCGACCTGGTAGAATAATTATAATGAAAAATAGATTTTTCGTCATCTTCACGATGGCAAGAGTCTGTAGGAATTGAGTTGTAATACCTCTGAGAAAGCGAACTCTCTTTGTGGTAATGTCAGTTTATTTATTGTAATCGCGTAAAGTGGCGCGGGCCCCCCCACGCGCCTGTATAAAGTCTCACATAGATAAGCAGCCGTCATTTATTTAAGTGCTAGTTTGTAAGTCATAGCTTATTTGTAAAATACTTTTGTTATGGTCGACTGGGTTCGACGATATTCGGAGTTTAAATTTTTAAAAAATAAAGATAGATGGCAAAGTCAGTTGATAAAGTATATTTAATTTTGGGTTCCGATTAGATGAGTGGCAATCTATCGAGCATTTTTATTGTTAGTGTAAATTGTTATTTTGTTTTAAGCGAATTAGGTCTAAAATAATTTAAATTCTGTAAATATCGAATCTATCCGTACTAAAGTTGATTTCGCTTAGGTCATTACGGTAGGTAATGGAAAACTCATGAATACTGGGTCGAATGATAACTGTTTACATGTAAAAATATGATTAAGTAATTAAGTTATATAGTAAGGGAAAATACATGTGGAAAATAAACTGTGATTCTGACTTTTTAATGTAGACTGTAGGTAGCCCTATTTTATGGAGCATAGAGTGCAGTGTGCGATTAAGTGAAAGCACGCCAGTGGCGCAAATGGCCTCGCCTTTAGCGATATCAGAATTAATATTCAATAATGTTGAAAGTAATTTTTCTAATATTGTGTACAACAATGTGGAATGGTTATTGTTCGGCGTTAAACTAGAACTGCATTGTTGATACGCACTGTCGTGGTCAGGGATACGCATCTTATGATTGTCCAAATTAATAAATTACAATAGTTCACTGGATTTCGTATTGTTTTACTTTAATACCGAATGCGTGTGTCAGTATGACTATACGTTATTTCCAAATGTCAGATTATGTTATCCATTGTTTTTTTTTCTATAATATTAATCATTAAAGACTTTGCATACGTATTAAAAATTTCATTCAAATCAAAGTATAAAATATAGATTACTGAACACAATGTAGGTGATATGTATCTGAATATCGCCATTTAAAACATACAGGCAATCCCAGCGATTATGGTTTGTTTATCAGCATGGTTTCTTACTTTGTAACGGTAAAAGCGTCGTGTATCCAAAGAACTGAGGGCCTAGTACGAGTTTGTTTTCCATTTAAAAATGCTACCGCATTTAGCCCTCTGATTGGTTGGTTCGTTGAAGCAGGCCAATCAGAGCGTCGAACGCGGTAACGTTTCGATCTCTTTAAACGTAAATCATACTCGTCCTAAGCTGTACTCTCTACTGTTACAAAGTGAGACACAACTCGCAATGCGTGGCGATGTTCAAACAGACGAATGCGTGGTACTGTAGTCATATTTACATTAAATTACTCACTTGACATTCCCATGGGATTTAGGAGATTCTAAACATTCATGATCAGCGTTTTTAATAATGTTGCTGACTTTGATTTTTTTTACAACGGTTTCATAATTTACTTCTGGCTCTTATTTTTAAGTGGTTTATGAAACTGTTCCCTAACAAAATTTGACAAGTGCGAGTTTAAATACTGAGACGCAGCCAAATGTTTTTGATAAGTATGACATGAGTGTTTGTCTGCAGTTTCATATTATAGTATTTTATTTACATTCATATCATAAAGTTCTTATAAAGAAAAATGTCTAAAAGTAAAAAAACACAATTCGTATACACTTTGGTTGATTGAAAGTGTGTATAAATAACATTCTGATAAGAAAATTGTAGCATAAAATCATACATTTTTCAGTTTATATTTTTTTATTGAGAGCTTTATGGTTCAGTGTAGAGAAAATTGTTTATTTGTATGTTCTTTTTTCGATTCAAGTAAATTATGATAAAGAATAGAATGAGGGTCGCGCATTCTTACGGTTTGGATGGTAAGGTGGTGCGGTGCGCCGTGCCTGCCACACAGTGTCTCGGGATCTCATTGCTGCTTTAATTGCGGGCCGCCGCTCAGGTTATTCTCTACTTGTACTCGCCATCCTCATTTGCCGCTGTTTATTCGCTTTTTACAATCGGCGATTCTTGTAAGGGTATTGACAGTGCGTCGTAATAAAAAGTTTGACATGATAACTTTCCGATAACTTAAACTAACAATATTGTACTTCTCATAATTTAAGTTGTAGTAGTAGCGCCATTGATTCGATTAGCTGGCATCTTGCAAAACTTGCATTATTATTATAGTTAAGATAATGGTGCGACTGTGCTGTCGTACGTAAAATAAAGTACAAAATATTTTATGTATTGTAATTTTATAAAGTACGATATAAATTTATAGCACAGGTAATGTTATTACGTATATTCTTTTTAAGGTTTATAACTAGAATGTATAAAATATTAATAATTGTATTGTTTGTCATATTTCCGTCGCAAACAGTTCTTAACTTGGCTAGGAGGAACACTAACGAACTCATCACTTCGTCCATTAATTTTAAAATATCTATAATTTTACTAGCAAGCAGATGCCCAATGATGTACACTCTTAAAATCTTATTTGAACTCCTTATGAAGGAGGTTAATGTAAATAAGTCTTCGTGAATTATAGTGATATAATATGACGGTATTTAGACACGCTATTGAAAAAATTACGGTACCTTTAAGTAACATGAGAATTATAAATTACTAATTTATTGCGGTGAAAGTATTTACTTTTTTTTGTAACTGGGGTGTAGTTATTTTCTAAGCTATAATGAATAACTAAATAATATGCTGTAATTTATTGTTTAAATTTATTATTTACTGCCTGACATTTGTTTTAATCGTACCCATTTTTGTTTAATTTAAACTATCGATAATTTTTGCCTAGTGAATAATTACATCCTGAGCGTTATGCTAAAATTGTCAATTATTAATAATATGTATCGGAATACTCACCTGTTCCGGAAATATTATAATATTTTTTTTATTCCACGAAATTTTACATTTGCAAACTAAACTGCATGTGAGAAGTATAATATAGTTCTGTTTTTTTCTATTGAAGCCAGCCTCAAAGTGGTCCCACTTCGTAGTGTCTTCAACCTGGATTGTTGAGGACACCGCGACGTCGGGCTCTTTACTTTTACTTGAGAATGTTTAATTCTATTCTTAAGGATGTGAAGTGGTTTGATGAGGATGGAACGTTTAGTAACTTCGGGTGTTCTTCGCTTGCGACTGTTGCTGGTGTGTGAGATGATAGTTTAAATATTTGTAAAATAACATTTGATCTCAAGTGTGCAGCAAAAGTGAAAGTGAGTTAGATTGTTGTAGAGCAACAGTCGCGGGCGGACAAATCCCGATGCCAGTGTGCTCGATGTTGGTTTGGTTCTAACAGAGCGTACGTATAGAAAAAAATATTGTGATCATAATTATATTATAGTTTTAAAGCTAGTTTGTAGAAATAACTGTATATTTTGTACATATTGAAAATAGTATTGTATCTTTACTTCCCTTATCCAAACAACCCAGAATCCTGTGTGTTATGTACCTCCTACCTACCAATACTATTAAAAAAATATTACATAAAAATCTCTTTGTTGTTATTTACTGTCCAAGTGCGTTATGACTTTGACAATGTTGTATACCTGTAAAAATAAGATAATTCACCCGAAGATAATACGATTATTACAAAATTTGGCGGCTGGAGGTGAAACAGCTTGTGTCAGATTTTCTGCTCAATTCACTTATCTATGATGACACTTCCAGCAGCAGTACACGTCTCCACTCTAAACAGGCATAGATTGGTGACTTGTTTGTTCCAGTTCCAGGGATTGCCTGGCTTGATAAGATATGCTTCAACTTGGCCTTATTGTGCACTGTAGCCAAAGCAAGATGAAAACAGTGACAGCGACTTATCCCTGGAGTATTTGGTTGCAATATGAGTTGCGAATTCCCTAATATCCCCCCGATGTTATATTATTTATATCTATGTAATGTTTCCCAACATAACTTATTGGTGACTGACACGTCTATATGATTTAAAAGTAATTGTAATAAAGATATCTAATTTCTTGGGAAGACCAAGTTTATGGGAATGACCGGATTTCATTATGTTTAGTATGGAGCTTATGTCAAAATTCTATGCCAATTTCAGTAAATCTTTCAGTGGAAGTCCATCATCGACTTATCTATTTTAAGTGATTACTGGTACATTTGGAGTTCCTATCTGTAAGGAAATTACTAATACCTAAAACAACATTAACTCGTCGAGTACCGGTTTTGTAGACACAATTATAGAACAATAGGTTGCGGTCACCGGTGACCGCTTGGTATTTGACAGTTTAAGTTACGTAATAAAAAAGATTTTCGAGACTTTTAGTCGCAAGTCTTCAAAAAAGTTTTGGATTTGTATCGTCTGTTCAGCTGACTGGACTAAAGTTGCCCTAATCTAGCAGGATTTACACAGGATACAATAACACTATATTTATTACACTATTTTGAATAGATTTTATTGTTCTACATATTACAGAATAATTGTTATGATATTTTCTAATAGATGTTTTTGAAACTGAACCATCTAATACAATTCATTTTTTTCCATTTTATGATATACAAAGTTCCTTTTAATGGCATCTTTTTGGTATTTATTACTGTCGTCTTCAAGAGACGAACAGAAATAAAAGCCATTCATTTGAGTTCACTTGCTGACTTACGAGCGGCATTCACTTAACAAAGTAAAATATTTCATTGTCCAATTAATTAATAACATTTATTAACAACTAATAACAATCATAATGCCTACTTGTAACTAACTTGTAGATACTAACAACAAGTAGTACATAATAATTAAAGATTCTAGTTTCCTATCCCTACAGTTTTTAGGCTACGACTCCGCTGTCATTTGAAAATACTGTATCCTTTTTGATTAACCATTAACGTTTCATTAAGAAGAATATAGGTATAGATGTAATTAAATAATAACTATGTGAGAGAAGTATTATTATGCAGGTACTTATTTTTATTGAATCTTATTTTCGTGCAATACCCCATCAACTTTAAAAATGGTAGTGGAGTTATAGCCTAATAAATTATTGCTAGACGCTTATGTCATGTTTAATAATTGTGATAAGTTTTGGGAGAAAAATTTAGCAACCTTGTTTCATCATGAGGTCTGCTAGTTTAAAAATCCGTAGCCAGCCGAATGTCTCCGGTGGCTGTGCCGTGGATGCGGAAGCTGCGGGTGCAGGGGTCTCGGTGCCAGATACTGCGCGGTTTGGTGTGCGTGCTGAGTTTGTAGGAGACTTTTTCTCGGCCTTCTGGTTTTCCGGAGACTTTGTAATTGCTGGTGACGTCATTCTGTAATAGAAGATATTGTTGACTTTTTAAAATTTCATCAATTATTACCTGAGAAAGGAATGATGAGGCTAAGGAACTTTACCATACCTACCACTAAAACTCAAAATTATGGATCATAATCGTAATTATATTGCTCTGTAGTCCAACATAAAGCTACGATGACTTGTTACTTTGAAAGCGGAAAGGTTTGTGTTTCATCTACACTAGCGTGACGGGAACAATGGGCTGTTCCAGGGGTAAGCACAGGTTCACTTACTACCAAATGCTTTTTATTTGTTTTAACATGGCACAAGTTTAATTCTAGGAGTTTTCCTTTTTATTAATAGGTACATATTATATTGCTTTAAACATTCTGCGTCATAATGCGTTAGAATGAGTACCTACGTGAAATAAATAAGATATAAATACTTGACTACCCAGGTACCTAGATATTTTGAGAAACAGTACTTAATACTTGGACATCTAATCTAACTCAAGTACTTATTATTAATTCTTTTAAAATAGTGTGTGTTGCTGAATTTGTTTTACACATAATCTATTAGTACACTAGACATAATACATATACTACATTGTACATGTGCCTAACATTAATGTGTCTCGTTATGGGCGTACTGGACAACCATGACCCGATTAGAGCATTGATTGATGAAAAAAAAAAACGTTTTTATAGGCACATAATGTTGATTGTATTGCTAAATAGTGGCACATGGGCCATGGCCCGATGTGTTTATATTTTGTATTTTAGAACGTTTTATCTAATGGCAAGGTTTTCTTTTAATTTCTCCTTATGAGTCGAAGTATTTGAGATCTTTTATAACTGGCTAAAATGTGGACGTCATTCTAAATTCAGGAACTTGTCCCTGTTGTTGCTTCATGTATGTAGTAAGTAGATATCAAATAATACTTTTTTTATAGCAAAAAACGGTTCGATATTATGCATGTAATATTTGTAATATTACCTATGTCTCAGTTTTGACCTACCAATAGAAGTAGAGCAATGACCTCGTTGTGAGGTGGCGAGTATGGAGAAATATGTTTGTGACCTATTTGGAACTCTTTCGTATCTGTAGATAACCGGATAGGCAAACTCGACACAATTATAGGTACCTGTTTATTACTACAAGCATAATTTATAACATACATTAATTATTTCATGAAAAGAAGTGTTGGTAATTCCTTTTTATAATAATTGTTTGTATTATTATATTTTATGTCGTAAATAAAAACATTTTATTATTCGTAAAAATATAATATTAATATATTTTGTAACTTACATAGAGACTGCAGTGCCAAGTAACTTTGGTTTATTTTGCTGAAGTCGATCCTGGGAATTATTTCACCCTAATTTTTTACACTTAGATCATTTGTTGAATTTGGAATAGTGCCACAGGCCACTAGTACGAAACTGCTTCGCGATATGCGCCTGCGCGTTTCTATCCGACGGTGATGCGCACCGTGTTCAGTTTGCGACTGGCTTGGCTTCATTGTTGATAGTCAGAGGCACGACTCTAGCGACTAGCTACTGTTGTCAGCTCTGTATAGGATGTACCTTCCAAATTGATGTCAAATGTGTTGGCGGGAACAACGATGTCGTCAAACACACAGAGGTACGTAGGTAAGTGTCGTAACGGAGTGTAACGTTATGGGGATTTTGGGAAATCGTTTGATTAATTAGAAAATAATGTGTTGTGTGCTTGATTCTGGTTTTTATAGATTCGCCCCTTTTGAACATCTGTGTTTGTGCGTTCTGGGTGCCTACTGCGTAGGATTGAATTAGGTCGTGTGATAGAGAATAAATAATAATTTGCGTTATAATGTGGATAATTGCCAGTTTATTATGTAGATTGTACTTAGATACATGCTTTTGTTGTCTTTAAGGTACTTTCAATCGAACTGCAGTGCAATCTGCATGTATGTAGATAATAAATCTGTTTCGGTGTATTTACCTACAATATAAGGAGAGGAAAAAAAAATAAAAATGTACCTACTTACAGCTTAATAGAGAAAATCTGAAACTAACGGAGAAAATGAAATGAAAGAAAACTAAAAATGACTATTTAAAGTTTATTTATTTATTAGTTTAGGTTTTCGTAAAAATCTTAAATTGTCGAACAGTTCAAAAGTCCGTAAGATTCATAAAAATACACCATGAGGTTACGTGTACAATGCAATGTTAAATTCGACAATAAATCAATAAAAATCGAAAATCAATTTACAAATATCATGTGGTTTTTTCTTTGAGATCATTCCATTCAAAACACAAGTTACATTATAGTATCTATAGTCCCATGTATTTTCTACGTTTAAATGCTTACAGTTCACAGAAGCGTTGCATCGGCAGACGTCGATTACGTCAACGACTCAGTTATATCTACACTAGTGTTGTCATTCGGGTACACATGTACATATTGTACACATAATGGCGCGTGTCGTATTGAATGCTGATACGAGGTACTGTTACAAAGTAAGAGAGCCGTGGGAACATCGGGTGTGGGTGGACTACCATACAATAACAATAAATGAAGACGTAGAAATGGTTATTTTTTAGGTTTTAGAAGGTAGATATGTATACTAATATAGCAGGTAGGTACTTTACCTATTAAGGTAGACGTCTTACTAGAACATCTTCAAAATGCAAACTAAATGCATTTTGTAGACATGACTTTGCGGCCTACCCTTATAGAACTTGTGAGACCTAGTGAATGAATTTAAATGTAATGTTTTGGGTTGTTCGAGTAGCTAAACTATTTTTTGGACATTAAAAATGAATTTATCAATTTATTATTATAAATATTCATTCCTGTATCTACAAAACGCATAGACGCATACATAACACAACGGAGAGGCTAACTAATATCTAAGGACAATAACAAAATAATAGGACACTGGACAACTTTATATACCTACCTTTTTAAATACATTTCTACAAAGCCAGTACTAAAATTTAAAATAAGAACCCATAATTTAGAACGGGTTTCTCAAGTTAAATTGCGCGGTAAAGTCTACCCTGCTCTTTCAGCCAATCAACTCTAAGTTCGCTTTAGCGTCGTCGTAGTTGAATTCAAAAATCGATTAGGACTCTTTGTTATAAAAATTAAGTGCTTTAGGATCCCATTCTGAAGATAAATTGAGTTAAAAACCCGAATTTAATATTGATTGAAATAAACTCAAGTGAATAATACTAAAGTTAGAACAATTCGTCTTCAGTCAGAAAAGCGCGCTAAAATGGATCGACCAAATTCAAGAGGTTATTGACCTATTTCGTTCTTTCGTACGTAATTGTATAGCCTGTGGTCCTTTGAAACGTGTAACGTACGTACATAATTTACGATTATTAGTGATAAGAGCAATAATTAAGATCAGTATTCTGTAAAATATGTATAAGTTTATATATATATTTTTTTTAGTATAAAAATGGAACTACCAAATTACCAACGTCAATTAAAATCAGTTTAAAATAGTATATGTACAATATAAATATTTACTTGTTGATGTGCCAACAATAATAAAAACAAAGAAGATACTTAAGAACATGTAGATTATTGGTTTTCTCTAAGATTCTATCAAAATTCTTTTAATATCTTTCACGGTAAACAATCGACATGACTTTCATTAATAAGTAAACTCTATGATAACCGTTTATAAACATTATAAAGTTACATAACCGACACGACATCATGTAACAGCTATATTTATTATACATACACACATATATATGTAAACAGAACGGTACTCATCCGATATAATTCGACCCAGTGACACGGAATCGTGGATAGAGCACAAAGAGTAATAAATATACATTGAACTAAATTGAATATTATTATTATAGTACAGTTACCTTAGTTACTGTAGCTTTGTTGGTCAGGTGGTGTTTTTGTGGGAAGCTTGATATGCAGTGCAGGTGCGACACGGTGGGGCGAGCGAGCTGGGTGCGCGGTAAAGCGCCAATGCCGCCCGCCCTACGGGTCTTTGCGCGCTACGCAACCGAACTGCGCACTACGCTACCGATTCTACGTACTCAAAACGTTTTTGAGATAACTTACATAACGGGTCAAGCCGAAAATTGGTAGTGATTCTTGTTGATGTATGAAATTGATGTGGAAACATGAAGTTATGTTTCAGGACTGAAATTACTCTTTCAGTCCATACCTATGTACATATTTCTCCTTGTTTCGCTAAAAGAAAAGAGAAAGGGGGAACGTGGATAAAGTTGTTGACATATTTCTTCCATAATATACCACTTAAACTGTCAAACACCAAGCGGTCACCGGTGACCGCAACCTATTGTTCTATAATTGTGTCTACAAAACCGGTACTCGACGAGTTAATACCAAAATGTCAGTAATTTATGTTATTCGTAGGTAGGTACTACAGAATACAGATGATAGATAGAAATAGAACGTCGTAATTGAAATTTATATAAATTATTCAACAGGTCGTGTATGAACAAAAACGTTTATTAGTAATTTTATCGTTAGTTACATATATCCAGAATACTCAAGGCACACATTAACCTAACTCACCTTACATTAACATTAAAATACTTACGTTTCCGTAACATCAAAGACAAGACTTCAATGTAAGGTTATCAGCAGATAACTGATGAGTGATGTAGGTAATTGCGTCTGGTCAAAGAAGATTTTGCTACATTTAGTCGAGTAAAAGATGTTGTCCTAGTTATCCTTGATTAGGATATTTTGTGACCATGCGACCAGCATTTTTAAAAGGCAAACAGTAGTTGTATTATTGGTCAGTCCTTAGTGAAACTATGTACCTAATAACTATGTACCTATTCCCTCACTCCAATACTAAATTACTAGATCGATGGGAAAGGACGAGCGAGAGACACATACTTATACCAAAAACAGTCTAAATATTTTACTCTTAATTAACCACCCTGAAGTGTAATGAGCCTTTAATTTAAGTACCAATGACTTTTATAATATTGTCAATTGGACACAGCGCAAGAGCAGACCGTGTTGATTGAACCAAATAGCTCTTTAAATTCGTATTTATGCCGATGCAACTAGTAATAAGGTTCAATTAAAAATGGTTGGATGCCTCAATTGGAATTTATGAAGTTACAATCATCTACTTAATTCAATTAAGTATTTTCTTTTAGAAGTAGAACATCGTTAGTAGTGGTACTTACCTACGACATAAAATAACGGTTTACATACGTAAATATACTGGGAAAAGGTCCCTCGCGCGCTGCTCTTAAGGAAGAGTCCCACTGTAACTCGAAACTAGTAGAGCTTTTCTCAGTAGGTATATAGAGGTATAGGTTATTTAAAGAAAAATCAATTTCCGTTCGTTAGTTTCGCTAAAACTTGAGAACAGGTGGACAAATTTGGCTAATTTCGGTCATGAAATATTTGTAGAAGTCCAAGGAAGGTTTAGAACGCGAGAGAAGAAAAATATTTCGATGCGGATTCAAGTTTGCTGGGTCAGCTAGTTATACAAATATAATTCCAAGAGACTTCAAATGTTTTTTCTTCTTCTCCTCTTATAATATATTCTGATTCACTTCGTTGCGGGAACCAAGACAGTTACTCATGTCCCTGGGACGCGCCGGACTTCAGTGTTCCGGTGTTTTCATGGTTGTATGTATTGTAGATCCTGGCTTACAGGAGTTGCAGTGGTTTTGTGAGGTTGTGGCGGGCTTGTCCCAAAAAAAAGACTTCAAATGTTTGAATAGGTATTCATCATATCAGTTTTACGTATCTAATAAATATGTCAGATTGTCAGTTATTACTTATAACACTTCAAAAATAATCTTTTCCCGCTCTAAAACTGTCTCCTATGTTATAGAACGTAGGTACATACATACACTGTACTGTAAACATAACTTTTCTTAAATATCTAGACACGAATGATGATGTATAGGTATAGAGTATATATTATCTTATAAGTACTTATGTAGAATGCTGCAAGGCTGCTAAGACTAAAGTTAACTTATATAAAATATGACTGCGAAGTAAATAATGACTATCTATTTACAGAGACGATGGCGAAGCGACTGATTGACATTTCCGATGAATGAAACGTCGCTGCGTCGGCTTTTACCTTGACCAGACGTTACCCTGCCATTCCGTGTGGCAATGGCCGTATTGTCCGTTAATTGCCACGCGGTCAATAGCGATATCAAGGAATGTTTTGATAGTTTATTCTAAATATATGATTATGTAAATACAATTTAATACTGATTTAGAAGAAGTATTTATAAATTATGATTAAGAGTTAGTGTTATGTTTAAGTTTTATTCAAAATAACTGACAATATGCTTAATCAAGGATTTACTTTGATTAATTACTTGAATAATAATATTATGTAATTTACCTTCCTAAGTTCGTGCTACGAGGAGATCTCGCGAGCCACAAGGAAGTGTCAGTGTATATATAGCGTTGGTTAATTTTTAACGATATTTAGATCGGCGGGACGTCAGTCTGTGGATCGTCACCAAACTTGGTCTATTTACAGATTCCGGTGATTAACGAGCTCTCCCTTCTGATGTGGACAACTTTAGATGTGGCACACATTAGTCTATCGCTGCCTCGCTGCTTTTAAATATGAATTTCGATTAAATCTTTAAA